TACTCCTGGGGCGACCGTGGCTGCACCAGGTGAAGGCAATCTCTTCCACCCTTCATCAGATGTTAAAATATCCCCACGGGAAGGGGGTGGCTATTGTTTTCGGGAATTCGTCAAAAAATCTACCGCTGGAAGTGTCTACACCAGTTTTGGAAATCGAGCACGGCATAGAAAATGTGTTCCTATCCGGATTTACTCTGGCTGAGGCCCGGGTCGTACAGAGCATCTTAGCTGTTGATGAGGGATTATATGTTAGCGCACAATCAGTATACCTTCAATCAGAAACATTGTTCCTGCAGTGCAATCTAATAAGAAATAGCATCAAATAAGCAAGAAAAAAAATCTTTAAAAAACCCTAGCAATCCACTAGAAGCTAGAGATATAATGGTTCTTCTCTAGTTCAAAACTCAATAGAAAGCAGATAGAATTGCAGGTTATGTTATGAACCCTTGACAAAGAAACAAATAACTGAAACAAAGGAAATACAAAGCAAATAGAACAGAGATTCAAATAACAAATTGAGAGAGAGAGAGAAGTAGAATACAGAGCAAAGAGGAGATGAACCTACCGAGCCAGAATCAAGAGGCGATGGTGTAGCACAGTAACGGTAAATGGCGAAAACCCGACGGTCAACAAATGTCTACACCGACGTGTGATTGTGAGAGGGAGAGAACTTCCAATCTCTAGTAGCAGAGGGTATGCCCCAAGAAACTCGAAACTCTCTGTACATCCTGCATCTAAGTAGACAGTGGCATCTTCAATGTGCTCTGATATCTGAACAATTTAAAGAGGAACCTTGAAAAAAGATTCATTTAAAAGATACATGAAAGTAATTAAAATTTAAAATGCAAGGTAGTCCAACTTCAGCCCAATAAATAAAGAACCAAGTGCACATAAGTTACATTTTCCTGAGGAAAAAAAATTACCAATTGATGCTTGTCAATAGAGGATAATCAACATAGGCATAACAAGCAAGTCTGTTTGGAATTGTTCATTGATGGGTTGCTTTGAAGGAATTCTGGTGTGTAGTTCACACTTCACAACCCTCAATACGCATTTCTACATTTGCTACTTATATTAATTTAAACTTTTTAAAGCTACACACAAATTTTGGTCTCTGAATTAGACATAGTGAGCTCCATACAGACTTGTAGGTGTGAGAGCGTTGTGATGTGATTCTTCTTTTCCCATTTTTCTCAAATTATGGACGCACAAAAAATAAAAAATGCAACTAATTCCGAAGAGCTTAATTGGAAGTCATATATAGTAGAGGAGAGAGACTTGATGAATGTGAAATATGTCATTTTCTCTTAATTGACACTAATAATACCTCCTCTCCTCGGTACTCTAGTAATGCTAATTGTAAGGCATTGCCAGGTATTTATTATCAATGCCACATCCAGTACAACTAGAAAATATTTACTAGTGTGAAAGCAAGTATGGAAACTGATAATAAATGACAGTACAGTCAAGGTTCTATTTATAATGTGCAAACATTTTATGATGAAATAGTGAAGTTTAAAAGTGTCCTAACCTAAGCCGAAGTTCAGAAACCAGCAATTAAATAAGAGTCACAATACTAAGAACTAATTTGGCCATCATGTGTCTTGGTTATAGTTTGGATTTGTCTTCTTCTGAGGATCTCTCTCTAAAACCAGTTAAGTATCTTAGAGAGGATGTGACAAATACCATGGAAAACTCTCAACTATAGCCATCAAGTCATAAGATCTTAGTCATCCAAGTCCGTGGTTATGATCATATACATGTACCCACAAAAACACAGAAACAAAGAAGCAAGGCAGATAAAGAAGGTAAGAGTTCATGCTAGCTTATTCAATGGCTTAATTGTCTAAAAACTGTATCAGAATGGTTCTTCAATTACCATAAGTAATTCTAAAAGGTAATTAAGGCATTGACAGAAAAGAAAAATATCCCAAGCGACAACAGTAAAATAAGGAAAAAAAGAATTTCAAATAATTTCTTAACATAACAAGAGAAAAATAGACAATGAATTAGCTGTACCTGACACAATAATTCACCACCAAACATTGCTAAATCAATCTACAAAATAAAGTTCAATTATTTTGATAAGTAAAAATAAGATAATTCAAATCAAATAACATAAAAAGAAACCAAGTTGGTGACATATGAGATGAATTCACAGTCATGATCAAATACCAAGAGTTAGAACCAAAAAAAGAAACTAATAACCCAAAATTTGGCATGATCCGAATTGGGAGAATTCTGGCTAAAGGAGCAGTAATTCCGGCAAATCCATCACTTGAACCGATATTGAGAAGAATTATGCTAGTCATACTCTTGCCAAATAGCCACTGCCACATGCCTGCTTCATTTTTGAGGACGTACACATTCTCCATTTGTATAGACCCAGACATGTAACACATGGAACCTACAGGTCAACCAAATTTCACACACATTGCAGTGGAAAGAATAAATACAAAATGGTTTAGTTCAAGGGACAACAGTGTAATTTACTCTTTTTTTCAAAATTCCAACGCGGGACTAAACATGGTGTACATTTTTTTTTTCTTTTTTTGTGCAACAATAGAATAGTCTGGCACTTTAAGAGACAGATGAACCAAACAAACCATGTACCTGTGGCTATGTATGGCAGTGTGAAGACAAATGCTCAGCTGTCTGTTCCAACTAGGTGTCATGGATTGGGGCTGGAAGCAGGATCTGTTCCTACTCTCAGTCCCTATTCAGATGCAATCCAGCATAAAAAAAACAACCACATTTAACTAAATAATATTCTCCCTTGCTTTTATAATTCCAATTTCCAAAAGAATTGTCAAACATCTACTCCTTATATGCAGTTATGCATTCTTTCTGTTCGGAAAGCTTCAACATGGAAACTATAAATATAAAATAAAATACAATTAAAAGTTAATAACACATCTGACAGCCAACATAGTGAATATTCACACAATTAAACCTCTCTCACCATATCAAGAGAAGACATGTTTTCCAAGCTGCAAACAGCATGTGCTCCAACTTCTAGTAGCAAAGGGTATGCCCCAAGAAACTCGAAACTCTCTGTACATCCTGCATCTAAGTAGACAGTGGAATCTTCAATGTGCTCTGATATCTGAACAATTTAAAGAGGAACCTTGAAAAAAGATTCATTTAAAAGATACATGAAAGTAATTAAAATTTAAAATGCAAGGTAGTCCAACTTCAGCCCAATAAATAAAGAACCAAGTGCACATAAGTTACATTTTCCCGAGGAAAAAAAATTACCAATGATGCTTGTCAATAGAGGATAATCAACGTAGGCATACAAGCAAGTCTGTTTGAAATTGTTCATTGATGGGTTGCTTTGAAGGAATTCTGGTGTGTAGTTCACACTTCACAACCCTCAATACGCATTTCTACATTTGCTACTTATATTAATTTAAACTTTTTAAAGCTACACACAAATTTTGGTCTCCGAATTAGACATAGTGAGCTCCATACAGACTTGTACGTGTGAGAGCGTTGTGATGTGATTCTGCTTTTCCCATTTTTCTCAAATTATGGACGCACAAAAAATAAAAAATGCAACTAATTCCGAAGAGCTTAATTGGAAGTCATATATAGTAGAGGAGAGAGACTTGATGAATGTGAAATATGTCATTTTCTCTTAATTGACACTAATAATACCTCCTCTCCTCGGTACTTACATTGCAAGAGTCTCCAACAATAAGAAGGAAACCCACTCATAACTCTCTTTCCACCAAATAAATCACACTTCTAATGCCTTTAATAAAATAAAATAAAAAAGCAAACTCACTTTCCAAAAGTTAAAAGGCTATCCTCCAAATCAGCAAGATGATAATTATGATGCACCCAAAAATATTATCAATAATTGTTATTTCTACAAAATGTAAAGAGAAATGCTGTAGTTTAAGCGTTTTAAAAATTGTGAAAAGATTAGAAGAAATTTTGAAAACAATAAAAGTTGTCTCGAAATTATGAAAAGATTAGAAGAAGTTCTAAAATCAATAAAAGTTGTTTTGAAATTAATGAAAAGTAGTTTGTATTCTTCATTTTTTTTTTTTTCTTTCTTTCTTCTTGTGCTCCAATGAAAAGATGAGTGAAATGTGAAAGGACTATATGATAGTATAGAAGTGTACTGATTTTTTATTTTTTTTTCTCTTTCTTCTAGTTAATTTTTTTTTAAAGTAATTTAATTATGACATTAACATCTTTGTAGTTAGAGTGAATGTCTAGTTCAGATTTAGAGAGGGAAGTTGTAAGGATCACAGTGGAGTCCATTGTTGTGGAGGCCCACAACTTCTCCCACAAAATTCAAAGTCAACATTGAATCTAAACAAAGTGGAGAGAAGCACACCAGTTGAATGTGGGTGGGAGGCTTAAATTCCATAAAATGAAGCGTATTGGGTGACCCTTTTAGCTTGTTTTAGTGGGAACAGAGTGATTCTTTAAAAAAATTGAGGGTTGTAGATTCGGTTGGTGATACATATTGAAAAAAATAAAAAGAATAAAGTTCAGAAAAGAATAAAGTTCAGAAAAAAAAAATAAGAAAAAAAAATAAGAAATACAAAGCAGGAAAAAAATAACATCAAAGAATAATAATATGAATTGAAAAGAATCAATCTTATCAATTCAATCAGAAACATTGTTCCTGCAGTGCAATCTAATAAGAAATAGCATCAAATAAGCAAGAAAAAAAATCTTTAAAAAACCCTAGCAATCCACTAGAAGCTAGAGATATAATGGTTCTTCTCTAGTTCAAAACTCAATAGAAAGCAGATAGAATTGCAGGTTATGTTATGAACCCTTGACAAAGAAACAAATAACTGAAACAAAGGAAATACAAAGCAAATAGAACAGAGATTCAAATAACAAATTGAGAGAGAGAGAGAAGTAGAATACAGAGCAAAGAGGAGATGAACCTACCGAGCCAGAATCAAGAGGCGATGGTGTAGCACAGCAACGGTAAATGGCGAAAACCCGACGGTCAACAATTGTCTACGCCGACGTGTGATTGTGAGAGGGAGAGAACTTCCTATCGTGAGAAAATGGATGTGCAAGGTGAAGAGAATGGGGGTTTTACCTAGCAGCAAAAACACGGGGGAAATTAGGTGGGAAGGTAAAAATCAAGGTCCCTGTTTGGTTTTAGTTCAACTTCTATTTTGTTATTATTATTTTTTTACTTACCCAGAAAAAGCTTTCTATTCTTTTTAAATATATTTTAAAATTAAAAATTATTCATATACTTTGTAAAATTATATAAATATATTTCAAAATTAAAAATTGTTAAAAATTTTTATTTCTCCCTAAAATATTTAGTGACTAAATTATATTTTGATAACAAAATTATTTCTTCACCAAAGATAAAAATATTAGCCATAAAAATAATTTTGTCACTAAATGATATTAAAATATCACCAAATTAGTGGTGACAAAAATATATTTGTCATTAATAATTTTATAATTGGTGACAAATTTTTTCGTCACCAAAAGTCTATTAATTTTGGCGCCCTCCGAAAATATTAGCGGGAAAATATTTGGTGACAAAAAATATATAAATAATGACGAAATATAATTTCGTCACCTATTTTTTTTTAATTATTTAGATTGGTGACGAAATTTTATTTTTGTCTCTAAAAATGATACATTTGGAGACGAAATATGATTTTCGTCATTAAAAGATACATATTTTGTGATACATGTACCCACAAAAACACAGAAACAAAGAAGCAAGGCAGATAAAGAAGGTAAGAGTTTCATGCTAGCTTATACAATGGCTTAATTGTCTAAAAACTGTATTAGAATGGTTCTTCAATTACCATAAGTAATCACTCGGACACTTATTCGGACCCTCTTGCATGATGGCAGAAATGTAATTATGGTGTTTGTTTTCCATTTCTCTTGCATCAGGGTATAAATACTCGGACACTTATTCAGACCCTGTTGCATGATGGCAGATATGTAATGATGGTGTTTACTTGCCATTTCTAATGCATTAGGGCTTAAGCACTCGGACACTTATTCGTGCCCTTTTACATGATGCCAGATATGTAGTTATGGTGTTTATTTGCCATTTGTCATGCATTAGGCTTTAAACACTTGGACACATGTTCGGACCCTCTTGCATGATGGCAGATCTGTAATTATGGTGTTTACTTGCCATTTCTTATGCATTAGGGTTTAAACACTCGGAAACTTATTCGGACCCTCTTGCATGATGACAGATATGTAATTTTGGTGCTTATTTGCCATTTCCTGTGCATTACGGTTTAAATAATCGGACACTTATTCGGACCCTCATGCATGATGGCAGATATCTAATTGTGGTGTCTATTTGCCATTTCTCTTGCATTAGGGTTTAAACACTCAGAAACTTATTCGGACCCTCTTGCATGATGGCAGATATGTAATTATGGTCTTTACTTGTCATTTCTCATGCATTGGGGCTTAAATACCCGTACACTTATTCGGACCCTGTCGCAAGATGGCAGATATGTAATTGTGGTGTCTATTTGCTGTTTCTCATCCATTAGGGTTTAAACACTCGGACACTTATTCGGACCCGCTTGCATGATGGCAGATATGTAATTATGGTGTTTACTTGCCATTTTTCGTGCATTATGGCTTAAACAATTGGACACTTATTCGGACCCTCTTGCATGATGGCAGATATGTAATTGTGGTGTTTATTTGCCATTTCTCATGCATTACGGTGTAAACACTCGGACACTTATTCGAACCCTCTTCCATGATGGCAGATATGTAATTATGGTGTTTACTTGCCATTTCTCATGGATTATGGCTTAAACACTCGGACACTTATTCGGACCCTCTTGCATGATGGCTGGTATGTAATTATGGTGTTTATTTGCCATTTCTCATGCATTAGGGTTTAAACACTCAGACACTTATTTGGACCCTCTTCCATGGTGGCAGATGTGTAATTGTAGGGTTTATTTGCCATTTCCCACGCATTAGGATTTAAACTCGCGGACATTTATTCGGACCCTCTTGGATGATGGCAGATATGTAATTATGGTGTTTATTTGCCATTTCCCATGCATTACGGTTTCAACACTCGGACACTTATTCGGACCCTCCTGCATGATAGCAGATATGAAGTTATGGTGTTTACTTGCCGTTTCCCATGCATTAGGGCTTAAACACTCGGACACTTATTCGGACCCTCTTGCATGATGGCAGATATGTAATTATGGAGTTTACTTGTCATTTCTCATGCATTAGGGCTTAAATACTCGGACCCTTATTCGGACCCTCTTGCATGATGGCCGATATGTAATTGTGGCGTCTATTTGCCATTTCATATGCGTTAGGGTTTAAACACTCAGACACTTATTCGGACCCTCTTGCATGATGGCAGATATGTAATTATGGTATTTATTTGCCATTTCCCGTGCATTACGGTTTAAATACTCGGACACTTATTTGGACCCTCTTCCATGATGGCAGATATGTAATTGTGGTGTCTATTTGCCATTTCTCGTGCATTAGGGTTTAAACACTTGGACACATATTCGGACCCTCTTGCATGATGGCAGATATGTAATTATGGTGTTTACTTGCCATTTCTCATGCATTATGGCTTAAACACTCGGACACTTATTCGGACCCTCTTGCATCATGGCAGGTGTGTAATTATGGTGTTTACTTGCATTTCTCATGCATTAGGGTTTAAACACTCGGACACTTATTCGGCCAATCTTGCATGATGGCAGATATGTAATTATGGTGTTTACTTGCCATTTCTCATGCATTATGGCTTAAACAATCGGACACTTATTCGGACCCTCTTGCATGATGGCAGATATGTAATTGTGGTGTTTATTTGCCATTTCTCATGCGTTACAGTTTAAACACTCGGACAGTTATTCGAACCCTCTTGCATGATGGAAGATATGTAATTATGGTGTTTACTTGTCATTTCTCATGCATTATGGCTTAAACACTCGGACACTTATTCGGACCCCCTTGCATAATGGCAGATATGTAATTATGGTGTTTATTTGCCATTTCTCTTGCATTAGGGTGTAAACACTCGGACACTTATTGGGACCCTCTTGCATGATGGCAGATATGTAATTATGTTGTTTACTTGCCATTTCTCATGCATTAGGGTTTAAACACTCGGACACTTCTTCGGACCCTCTTGCATGATGGCAGATACGTAATTATGGTGTTTGTTTTCCATTTCTCTTGCATCAGGGTATAAATACTCGGACACTTATTCAGACCCTCTTGCATGATGGCGGATATGTAATTATGGTGTTTACCTGCCATTTCTAATGCATTAGGGCTTAAGCACTCGGACACTTATTCGTGCCCTTTTACATGATGCCAGATATGTAATTATGGTGTTTATTTGCCATTTGTCATGCATTAGGCTTTAAACACTTCGACACATGTTCGGACCCTCTTGCATGATGGCAGATCTGTAATTATGGTGTTTACTTGCCATTTCTCATGCATTAGGGTTTAAACACTCGGACACTTATTCGGACCCCCTTGCATGATGACAGATATGTAATTATGGTGTTTATTTGCCATTTCCCGTGCTTTACGGTTTAAATAATCGGACACTTATTCGTACCCTCTTGCATGATGGCAGATATCTAATTGTGGTGTCTATTCGCCATTTCCCGTGCATTAGGGTTTAAACACTCAGAAACTTAATCGGACCCTCTTGCATGATGGCAGATATGTAATTATGGTGTTTACTTGTCATTTCTCATGCATTCGGGCATAAATACCCGGACACTTATTCGGACCCTGTTGCAAGATGGCAGATATGTAATTGTGGTGTCTATTTGCCGTTTCTCATCCATTAGGGTTTAAACACTCGGACACTTATTCGGACCCGCTTGCATGATGGCAAATGTGTAATTATGGTGTTTACTTGCCATTTTTCATGCATTATGGCTTAAACAATTGGACACTTATTCGGACCCTCTTGCATGATGGCAGATATGTAATTGTGGTGTTTATTTGCCATTTTCTCATGCATTATGGTTTAAACACTCGGACACTTATTCGAACCCTCTTGCATGATGGCAGATATCTAATTATGGTGTTTACTTGCCATTTCTCATGGATTATGGCTTAAACACTTGGACACTTATTCGGACCCTCTTGCATGATGGCTGGTATGTAATTATGGTGTTTATTTGCCATTTCTCTTGCATTAGGGTTTAAACACTCGGACACTTATTGGGACCCTCTTGCATGATGGCAGATATGTAATTATGTTGCTTACTTGCCATTTCTCATGCATTAGGGTTTAAACACTCAGACACTTATTCGGACCCTCTTGCATGATGGCAGATATGTAATTGTAGGGTTTATTTGCCATTTCTCACGCATTAGGATTTAAACACGCGGACATTTATTCGGACCCTCTTGGATGATGGCAGATATGTAATTATGGTGTTTATTTGCCATTTCCCATGCATTACGGTTTCAACACTCGGACACTTATTCGGACCCTCTTGCATGATAGCAGATAAGAAGTTATGGTGTTTACTTGCCGTTTCCCATGCATTAGGGCTTAAACACTCGGACACTTATTCGGACCCTCTTGCATGATGGCAGATATGTAATTATGGAGTTTACTTGTCATTTCTCATGCATTAGGGCTTAAATACTCGGACCCTTATTCGGACCCTCTTACAGGATGGCCGATATGTAATTGTGGCGTCTATTTGCCATTTCACATGCATTAGGGTTTAAACACTCAGACACTTATTCGGACCCTCTTGCATGATGGCAGATATGTAATTATGGTGTTTATTTGCCATTTCCCGTGCTTTACGGTTTAAATATTCGGACACTTATTCGGACCCTCTTGCATGATCGCAGATATGTAATTGTGGTGTCTATTTGCCATTTCTCGTGCATTAGGTTTAAACACTCAGAAACTTATTCGGACCCTCTTGCATGATGGCAGATATGTAAGTATGGTGTTTACTAGTCATTTCTCATGCATTAGGGCTTAAATACCCGGACACTTATTCGGACCCTGTTGCAAGATGGCAGATATGTAAT